GAGATCTGCCTGCGCCCCCCTTTAATCCCATCACTCCGGAGGCAGAGGCAGGCAGATCTCCTGATCTATGGAGTGAGTTCCAGGACAGCCAGAGCTGTTACGTTACACTGAGAAAACCTGTCGAGATGGGGGGGGGGGGGGGGCATGCTGCTGGCATGAAAGCACGTCACAACCTAGTAATATGACCTAGAGTTCGGCTAGGACACATGCTTTCTCCCAGCCTAGGGTGGGCTCTGTGCCAACAAGAACTGAAAAGGAAACCAGAGTGCAAAGGAGACAAGGATGCCAAGTACAAATATGAAATGCTAGTAGCTGTGACACGAAAGGAAATGTCTGTGCAGTTGACACTTTTAGTAACTGAGAAGCCGCCAGTCGGTGATGGTGCACGCCTTTAATCCCAGCACTCGGGAGGCAGAGGCAGGCGGATCTCTGAGCTCGAGGCCAGCCTGGTCTACAGAGCGAGTTCCAGGACAGCCTCCAAAACAATACGGAGAAACCCTGTCTCAAAAACCAAAAGATAATAATAACTGAGAAGCCATGTTGGTGCTGTGACTGACAACCTCCACCATAGGGCGCCCTGTGCGGAGGACACCAGGGACCACAGGACAGCTATTATGTAAAGCCTCACACTTCGAGGCTTTCTCCTTCCGTGCTCTGGTTGCAGTTTAGTAGGGATCATTCAGGTAGGTGTGGCCTTACCTCTCCCAGTCTGGTTCAGGGGTGGTCAAGCAAGGAATGGGCATGGCTTCTGCCCTGAAAACAATAGAGAATACTAAGTAGCAGCAGCAGGCTACAAAGTGTGTTTATGGTGTGTGTGGGGGGGGGGTGGGGACCAGAAAGGGCAACCGGCCTGATAACAGGGCTGTAACTTGTTATACCTGAAGGAAGTGTTAGCACTGTCCTAACCTGAGCTAACCTGCAAAACTCAAACACCAACGGTGCTACCTCCTGTGTGGACAGAGACCCCTTTTCTGCCTGACTCGGGGAAACAGTCTGACCCTCCTTCTAGGTGAGGCAGCACTGAACCACACTGGGCATCACCAAACCAAAAACACCCGAGGAAGGAGCAGCGTGTGTCAGCCGAGAGGCAACTCGGTGTGACTGTGACTGAACCGCTGACAGCACCGTGGTGCGCTACCTCTTGCAGATATTATCATCAGCCCAGGGCATGTCCATCTTTCAACTCTCTGGGAGTTAGGGGTGGGTGTTGTCCATCCAAGGGATGGCCAAATCTTGAAATCCCAGCACCCCACCCCACCTATGGCTTCCCTGCCTAATGGCATGTTTAACCAGGTCCCAGCCTGAGCATGGTCAGTGTCAGAAGCAGACAGAGCTCCACGCTGCCACCTGCAGAACCTGAGTTGTAGTTTTTGTTTGTTGGGTTTTTTTTTAAGATTTATTTATTATGTATACGGTGTTCTGCCTACATGTATATCTGCAGCCAGAGAGGGCACCAGATCTCATTACAGATAGTTGTGAGCCACTGCGTGGTTGCTGGGAATTGAACTCAGGACCTCTGGGAGAGCACGCAGTGCTCTAAACCTCTGAGACATCTCTTTCTCTCCAGTCCTAGTTTTTGTTTTTTCTTATTACATTTTTATTTAATATGCCTATGTATTTGCGTGGGTTCACATGTGGAGGTCGGAGACAACTTTCCCAAGCCAGTTCTTGTCTTCTGCCATGTGGGTCCCTGGGATTGAGTTCAGGTTGCTAGGTTTTGATGGCAAGTGCCTTTACCCACTGGCCTATGCGTTCTCATCACTCAGGTGAAGCCAGGATTCTTGACTTCACGGGGTGCATCAGTGTGAGGCAGAGTTAGAGTTTGGACAGGTATTTCTAGCATGGAGTTAAACGCGTGGGTTGATAGAGTGTGTTTGGGAAAGCAGAGCACTACCAGATGTGGCTGTGGGATTCTCAAGGGAACATGGCATGTGAGTCTCTGCAGCGGCCATCAGTCTGATCTGAGTGGTTTCTGAAGGTCCAGCTCAAGCCGTTGCTAGGCAACTTTAACAGATCACACCATAGTCTCTGTTGTGTACTGGACAGTTGCTACAGACAACGTATTTTTTTTTTTTTTGGTTTTTACGAGACAGGGTTTCTCTGTATTGTTTTGGAGGCTGTCGGTCCAGCCCGGCCTCCAACTCACAGAGATCCGCCTGCCTCTGCCTCCCGAGTGTTGGGATTAAAGGCGTGCGCCACCACCGCCCGGCTAAACCATTACTATTTTAATATTATTTGGGATATGGTTACATAAAAGGAATATTTTCTCTATCTAGGCAGTCTTCAAGCAACTTTTGTCAACTGTCCTAGAATTCATAACTCTCACCTGATGAGAAACTTCAATCATACTGGAATGAGGGTCCTTCCCCCTGCTACCCACCCATGCCCCCCTTAACACTCCCTTTCTATCTTGCCTAAAACAGTCCAAGTCAGCCGGGCGGTGGTGGCGCACGCCTTTAATCCCAACACTCGGGAGGCAGAGGCAGGCGGATCTCTGTGAGTTGGAGGCCGGGCTGGACCGACAGCCTCCAAAACAATACAGAGAAACGCTATCTCGTAAAACCAAAAAAAAAAAAAAGAACCCGAGTTTGATCACAACCTAGAAGCCTTGGTGGTGTGTACCCGTAATTCCAGTGCTGGGGAGGCAGAGACAGTAGGATCCCTGGAATTTGCTGGATAGCCAGCTTCCTGGAATCTGAGTTCCAGGTGAAAGAGAGCCCCTGTCTCAAAATAACAGAGAACAAGTACACTTAACATCGACCTCTGGTGTCCATGGGCATCCAACACGCACACCCACACACCACACACGGGTACAAAGTGAGCTAGTAGAGACAAAGTGAGCTAGTAGAGACACAGAAGCCAGACAGGAGAGACCGCAGCTAATTAGACAGGTCAGAGCTGGTAGACAGAGGCACTTCCCGGAGGGGAGGGGCAGACTCCAGGGAAGTGCAAATCTCTAGGGAGGAGGCCCTCAGTCTAGAGGAGGTGCGTCTTGCGGGAGAGGATCGGGGGGCAGGAATCCCTGGTGCACAGCCTCCAGGGTTGGTCCTTCCCCGGGATCGCCTTCTCCTGGGCACCACTCCGCGCCTAGCTCCATAGGTAGCAGCCCTGCTGGGTATCCCCCCGCCGGCGTAACGGCGGAAGCGGAGCGGTGGGCGGGACCTGGCGCCGCCCCGCCCCCGGGCTTCCTCCTCTTTCACTTTCCTTTCCACGGTAAGCGGGTCCTGCCTCCACTCGATCATGGACTACACGGAGTGCGATTCCACCTGGGAGGACGAGAGCGAGGAGGACGGCGAGGACGGCCAGGCGGATGATACGGGCGATGAGGACACGGGCGACGAGGACGGCGACGCGATGGAGACACGGCCAGGCGTGTTCCAGGTGCAAGAGGGCGGGAGGGCCACACAGAGCGACACCAGGCCGTGAGCGTCCGGCCCTGGCCGCTGTCCCGAGGGGATGCCGGGCCCAGGCCGGGTCGGGACCGATCGCCGGTGACGTCAAGGCAGCGACTGATGGAGGGGTCGTGCGTGGGTGACGTCAGAGCGCGCCCCAGATCCTCGTCCTGCGTGGGTGGCCTTTCCCCGGGTTGTCCTTCCTCCGCCTCCCGCATCCGGCCCCCAACTGCAGACGGCCAGTGACCCCGGCCGAGGAGATCTGGGGCAGGGGGCTGTCTGTCTGCCACTAGCTCTGGCTACTTCTGCTGCCACCAGAGCTTGTCTCCGGGTATACTTTTGTAGCAAGCAGCATATAAGTCACAGTGTGCCATTCTGCAAGACACACTGCCCTGGTTATAGCTGTGGCTGATGGGAAGCCTAGTTCTCTCCATTGCTACCATCTCTGGCTGTCTGCTATTTTGGGGACAGTGACCCAGAATCTGGAGAGGCTCTCGGGCCGGCCTTCCAGGCACGCCAGCCCTGCCCTGTGCCTGACCACATTGGAACGAAGCAGAGGCTGGGTGGAGTCCAAAAGCTCTGATGAGAATTGTTTCCTCACAAGAGCTCTTGGATCGTACCTGAAGCAGTAGCCGCCTAAAAGCCAGTCCCAGATCTGGGCCGTGGTGGCGCACGCCTTTAATCCCAGCACTCTAATCCTAGCACTCGCCTTTAATCCCAGCACTCGCCTTTAATCCCAGCACTCGGGAGGCAGAGGCAGGGCGGATCTCTGTGAGTTCGAGATCAGCCTGGTCTACAAGAGCTAGTTCCAGGACAGCCTCCAAAGCCACAGAGAAACCCTGTCTCGAAAAACCAAAAAAAAAAAAAACAAAACAAAAAAAAACCCTGTCTCAAAAAACCAAAAAGAAAGAAAAGCCAGTCCCAGGCCTGGAGACACAGTGCCCTCTGTCCGTCACATTTGGCCAGGGAGGAGCAGAGGTTTACAGGGAAGGGGCCTCAAACACCCCCATCCATCAGACCCACCCAGAGGCATCTGGGTATTGTCTTGAGGCTGTGGCTGACAAAGTAATTGCCCTTGGGGATACAGCCCAGTGACCATACATACTATATAGTACTCAGGGAAGGGGGGCACATAAAGGTCTCAGACCAAAATGAGGTTAGTCAGCAGACCAGAGAGATGTAGCTGGGCCTTGGGGCCGGAAGAGCAGCAGCCATACACACCTTGGCAGTGTGCCGGCTGATGTGGGCCAAGGCACCCTAAAGAGAAATCGTGAGTCCCGAGAGAGGCAGGGGTGGTGGCTGAGGCTACTCTAGACCCCTCCGTCTGTGTCCACATGGAGGTGTGCTTCTGTAGTGTCTAGATTGGCCTTCTCAGAACCTCTGACACAAGGTGGGTAGAGACCAGAAGAAGAATCAGAAATACCCTTGCGTAGAACTCAGTGGTGGCTGGCCCGTGCCGTGCTGCTGCCTCCATCCTGGACATTTCCTGGGTACTTCACTCCTTTAATTCTCTCTCCAGTCCAGGATGATGGGATACCGAAACCCTCGAGCTATGCAGGACATGCGAAGGTACCGGCACCACTACCCGGTAGGTGCATATGGGCCCTGCCTTGAGACACAGTCCCCCTCCCAAACAGAGTACCCCCTGGCCTGCTGAAAATCCAGCCCTGGGCTCTGGGGCGTGTTCTTCATTGTCAGGTCAGATCCGTGCCTTTTCCCTAGTCACGGGGTGACAGACAGAGCATGCTGTCCTGCCTGAGCCTCAGAGTGTAGCTTTAAAACGAGAGACCAGCTTCCTGACAGAGCACGCGGCTCAGTGTTTCACACAGGGCTCTCTGACTGGTACATGGAGTCGCTTCGGTCTCTCTCCTCTGTACCCATGAGTTACTGGCAACCCCTGTGCTGTGTTTTGAGGTACAGAAGCGGGGAGTAACTATCTATGGCCTCTGCTGGTGGGGAGATGGAGGCGGGACTGTCCTCCAGACCTACTGGTGCTCACAGGGAGGGTCCCAAGGTGACCTTTGGGGTCTTGAATACTTGTCCCTGCTCCTGACTGCATGAAGTATGGGGGGGGTCCGTAAAGATGGCTTCCTTCTCAATGAGTCCTCAACCATCTTTTCTCTGACTCTTCAGGATTTGGCAGACCAAGACTGCAACGGCGACATGTCTAACCTGAGCTTCTACAAAAATGAGATCTGCTTCCAGCCAAACGGTACCTGCCCGCTCGTCCCCAGCCCCTCCCTGCCCTTGTCCATTCTGCTAGGCTGGCTGTTGTAGTCCGTCCCATTTTGGCTTTCAAATGGCCCTGCAGTGCCCCCTTGAGGCTGCCAAGGGGATTGGAGCTTAGGTTGAAGGGCCAGAGAGTAAGCTTTTGGCCCAGGCTGGCCTCACACTCAAGAGATCTTCCCATCTCAGCCTCCCAAGTGCTGAATTACAGTCCTGAGGCGCCATATCTGTTTTGTGGCATAAACCTTATTTGAAACTATGCAGTATAAGTAAAGTTTTATGGGTGCCTGTTTACACCCATTTATGAGGGTGCTTTTTTGCTGTAGCATGGAAAAGACCATGTGGCCACATAGCTGAGATGTTAGCTGGCTGGTCCCGGAAAACCATGCTGGTTTCTATGGAGATTGCTTTTGAGTTCAGAGTTTCCTGGCTGACAAGGTGTGTGGGTGTGTGAGTGTGTGTGGTGTGTGTATGTGTGTGCAAAGGTGGTGTGTGTGTGCATGTACATGCATGTGTGGTGTGTGTGCGCGCATGCATGTGAGTGTGTGTGGTTTGTGTGTGTGTGTGCGCGCGTGTTCGTCAGTGCATATGTGTGCATGTGTCTACACGCCTGCATGCATATGTGTGTGTGTGCCCTCGCGCATGCACCCCAAAGAGGAAGTAGTGCACCCCTCATTGACAGAAGTGGGCCAAGTTGCCTACAACTAGTACATCTTGTGTCTGATGAGCTATGGATAGCTCTGCTGAGTCCTTAGAACCCTAAAGAAATTGAGGGTAGGTGTTGATTGTGACATATCTCTGGCTCCTGAGTTATGTCAAGGAGGCCTCCATAGGTGACTTTTCCCCCATGGGACTTCCAGGGCTTTTAATTGAGGACATTCTTCAAAACTGGAAAGACAACTATGACCTTCTTGAAGAGAATCACTCCTATATCCAGTGGTGAGTGGAACTGAATAGGTAGGCCTTTGGGAAAGGGGGGGCGCTGTTATGCTGTGTCTAGGTTTAGGTATGTGTGAAGCACCCCTTCCTTTCCATAGCCTATGTGTATGTAACAGGTATTGCCCGCATACCTCTACTTAGTGGCCCCGTTGCCGGGCTCTGGGGAGGTTTTGTGTATAGTTCCCTGGGCAGGCCTGTCTGTCTAGAGGGCCGCCTGGAGCTTGACTACCTCTGACTTGGTTTCAGCAGTGCTCGGGTGAGGTGCCACACAGCAGCCTCAGAAGCTATATATACCATTTCCTGGCAAGAACAATGTCCCTTGCTTGAGGACAGCCCGCTGGACTGCTCCCAGTGTCCTCTTTGCATGAATACACTATGACAGTAATTCTGCAGGACTACTGACAACAAAGAACAGACTATGAAAACATAGGAAAGAAAGTTCTGCCCCCCCAAAAAAAAGGGTGACAGACACACTGGTCTTGCCCATTTTGACTTTGCACCACAGAGCTCACTGAGCACGTAGGCTGAGGCTCCAAGCAGCCATCTTACCTGCTCCCGGCTGAATGGCATCCTCACCCAGTCCCTTGGGTAAGAGAGAGGCCGGCCAGCCCCTCCCAGGAATAAGAGGGAGGCACTGAATTAAGAATAAACAAGTTGCTGCCTGATACTGAAGTGCCTGTACCCTCGCATCCTCGCAGGCTGTTTCCTCTGAGGGAACCAGGAGTGAATTGGCACGCCAAGCCCCTCACACTCAAGGAGGTTGAGGTACGTTCCCTTCCTAGGCTAGACTGAGAAGTCAGGAGAGCTACCCCTACCTGCAGAGGGGTCGCTGTGACAGTGCCCATGCTGCCTCAGGGGCCAGAAGAGCCCCATGGTGCCCCTGTGGTATCTAGAAGTCTGCCTAATGAGAATGATGCCACCTGTTGGCCTCAGAGAAGGGGGCCAGCCCTTAGAGACTGTGAAGTAGAGGTAAGGGACAGGAAGGAGGGTTTTGGACAGGGATAGCAAGGAATGCCTTGCAGCGGGTGACTCGGGTTAATAGAGGTGACAGCTTTCCTAGACCCCAGAGAAGAAGGCTGGAGATGTTGACAGTGGCTCCACCCTATGTTCCTTGGGAGCAGTGATGAGTGAGGGCCACCTGAGCCCCCAGGGGATTGTTTTGTAGGCATTTAAAAGCTCCGAGGAGGTCAGAGAGCGTCTCGTCCGGTCCTATGAGCTCATGCTGGGCTTTTATGGGATCCAACTTGAGGACCGGGCCACCGGTGCCGTCTGCCGTGCACAGAACTTCCAGCCACGCTTCCACAACCTGAACAGGTGAGGACAGGGCCCTGCTGGCATCCTCCCCATCCCCTCTGCTCCGCTTTAGTGTCTGGGGCCGGGTTTCCAGCAGAGACACCTAATACAGGCCACAGAGGGTAGGTGCTGTGTTAGTGTTGTAAGGTCATAAAGGCAGCAGTTCCTTGCCTTGGGAGTTTTCACCCCCTGCACCCACCCAGGAAGCAGAGGCAAGGGAAGTCTACAGACATCTCAGTCACTCTGGGTCTGCCTAGATGCCAGCCCCTTCTAGCATTCATCGGTGATTCCCAGACAGGAGTCCATGGACTGGGGAGTCCTCCCAGGACTGGCAGATCCTGTCCGCAGGGTCAGGGTACACAGGCCACTTTCCCAGGTGGGGCCCCCGAGAAGACCCTGGAGATTTGAGATAGAGCCAGCTAGAGATGCCTTGGCCAGATGTGCATCCCCAGGGCCAGGTCCATCTAACCTCCTGTCACCTACCTTCACAGCCACAGCCACAACAACCTGCGTATCACACGCATCCTCAAGTCGCTGGGCGAGCTGGGCTTAGAGCACTACCAGGCACCGCTGGTCCGTTTCTTCCTGGAGGAGACACTGGTACAGCACAAACTGCCCAGCGTGCGCCAGAGTGTCCTGGACTACTTCCTGTTTGCTGTGCGCTGCCGAGACCAGCGCCGGGAGCTTGTACACTTCGCGTGGGAGCACTTCAAACCTCGCAGCCAGTTTGTCTGGGGACCCCGTGACAAGCTTCGGAAGTTCAAGCCCCAGACTACACCCCGGCCACCGATGGTCCTAGGGCAGGCAGATAAGGATGAGGGCTCCAGGAACCCCTTCCAAGAGGCTGACACCCAGGGTCGGACCTATGGATCTGGAAGGGACCTGAGTGGGGACAGTGGGACAGCTGAGGGTCCCTCACAGCTGAGCCCAAAGCCCCAGGATGCAGGAACCCTGGATGAGGACCAGGGGGATGAGGCTGAGTCACTGAGCCACAAAGAGAGCAAGAAGAGGAAGTTGGAGGGTAACAGGCAGGAGCAGGTCCCAGGGGAGCCAGATGTCCAGAGTGTCTCTGAGGTAGAAAAAATTGCCCACAATCTTAAGGAGTGTGCCCTGAGCCCTATCAGCCAGGAGCCCAGGGAGGCTGAACAGCCCTGCCCTGTTACCCATGGGGCCGGAGTGGATGATGAGGTAAGAAAACGGAGGAAGGTGGAGGAGGGGGCAGAGGGTGATGGAGCAGCCAGTAACCATGACACTGACTTGCAAGCCCTGCCTCCTACGCCTCCAGAGGGTCCTGAGGCCCAAAATGATGAGAATGGGCCAGAGGACCCAGAAAGTCGGGTGGGGCCAGAGCAAGGTGCCTCTGGGAGCCTGGCGGGGGACCCTGACACTACAGGAATCTCAATGGATGAGTCAGAGGAGATGTCAAGGATGGGGGCCCCTGCTGAACCCCCAAAGCCTTAGAGGTGCATCTCAGTCCTCTTCAGCCCACTGCAGGGGTTGTCTTGAGTCCCAGAGCCCTGTTGTTGGCTCTTCTCGGTGCCCCACAGTGCTGGCCTCTCCCTGGTGGTCACAGAAGCTTGCCACCAGAGGGACTGAGGCCCTGCCCTCAGGGAAGGCCATGGCCTTCAGAACCCTCTTTACCTCACTGTGTCCTCCCCCACTGCCCTCTGAGCCCCATGTTTGTGAACAACCCCTACGGGTCTCGGGGGAGGGGCCTCTTTTCTTAGTGTGGTGCCAAGTGAGGCCTTTTCTGAATAAACTCTTTAGACTTTGTTTTTTGGTGTGGACCACAGTCCTGTTTGGTTGCCTGGGAGGTTGGTCCCTCTAGACTTCCTTGTTGCCCCCAACTCAGAGCAGCCTGGCCAGTGCCCACACCGTGGTGCTTGGCCCATACAGAGCCTGGCAGACACTGGTTGCACAGGCAGGCAGGCACTCTGCAGACCTTCCTGAATAACAAGGTTTGATCATCAGAACCTTAGCTGCTACTGTGTCACCTGTTCAAGAACTGGGAACGAGAACTTGGAAACTGGTACATGGTCCCCTTGGGTGGGGCGGGGACAGTGCGGGGTTTGCATGTCTGCCCCGACCCTCGGGACATTCAACGTGGGGACTGGTGGACACCTAGGAGGAAGATGGGGCACGGGAGATACGAAGACGGACAACAAGACAGGATTCTGATCAAGTCGACAACTATATTTCATCCCAAAGGGATTTATAGAGGGGAAGGGAGGAGGGGAAGGAATGGGGGTGTGCTGCAGCTGCAATGAGCCTGGCGGAGCAAAGGTCAGCGGGATAGGCAGGTCATCCTGTGTCCTCTGGTAACCTGACTGCAGATCCTAACTTTATCTTTCACGTTCTAGCTTCTGTCGTACAAGCCTACACCCTCGTGACTAGGCACATATGCCACAGGTCTGTTTCCTCGGAATTTGCTCCCTATCTTAAGAGGTGGTATTTCAGCAATGTGACCTGGAGTCACGTCTTCTCTATGATGAGGGCGTGATAATGCTATGGCTGAGTTAGGGCGGAGCCCCCCCCCGTGTCTAGACCAGTCCTTTGCATCTTGCCCCCTCTCTACTGATAGGCCTCCCTGCCTCCCTGAGGTGCTCTCTTCCAGGGTCCCGTGTGGCCTGTCAGACTGGCAGCGCACTGTAGCTTCTCTGCCATGGCTTTCCCATTCTAATTCCCCAGCGCCAATCTGTCGTGTAAGGAGTCCTGTGGACCTTGGAGAGGAGGGAGCCGCACACAACTTGGTGCAAATGAGGGGGCCGGCAAGCACCGCCCTGGTGCCCTGAGGGAGAGCATCACAGCTCCCCCTGAGCTGAGCCTAGGAGTCAGTGCCATTTCTCGACAAGGTTGCAGACCTATACCGTGGACGTCACCCTCCCAGGGGTAGCTGGAGGCTGTGGGCCGCTGTAACCTCAGCTGTGTGTGATTCAGCTCATGGCAAGGCTTCCGTCATGAAATGGAGATAGATGCTCTGAGATGGACAGAAGGCATCTGGTAGTTAACTTCAGTTGGGGTCACTCTTGAAGTGCCAAGGCCCCCTCGACTAGATGGCTGGGACTCCAGTCAGATGGGGACCACCAACGCTTGACAGTGAGGAAAGGCTCTAGGAATGGCTGGCCAGTCTGACTCACTTGGCCCCCTTACTTTTTTTTTTTCGAGACAGGGTTTCTCTGTGTAGCTTTGGAGGCTGTCCTGGAACTCGCTCGGTAGACCAGGCTGGCCTCAAACTCACAGAGATCCGCCTGCCTCTGCCTCCCAAGTGCTGGGATTAAAGGCGTGCACCACCAATGCCTGGCTTGTGCCACCAACTCCTGGCGGCCCCCTGACTTTTAGGGAGAATGGTATACCTACCCAAACGGGTAAATACATAGTGTCAGCTCAAAGGCAAGTACTGGAAGGCCTGGACCTGACAGGTCTAGGACGGGAGGCTGGCCTCACCTCAGAGGTCTACAGATACTGGGGGTGTGAGTGAGCTTGAAGACAAAGCCTGCTTCAGGTACCAAAAAATGCACCCCAGGCCCAATCCAAAGGCCAGCTGTGCCTCATCCGAGTGGCATCTAAGGAGTTGCCCGTGTGCCAGACGCTAGGTGCTGAGGTGGCAGGAAGGGCTGAGCTGCGGTGCCCTGAGGAACCTGGGTCAGGGGGAAGGTTCTTTACAAGGGCTATGACACCCTGGCCTCGGGAGAGCTGCCTGACAGAGACCACGTGAGATGATGGGCTGTTTAGAGCACACACACACACACACACACACACACACACTGCACCCTCTGCTGCCTGAGTTGATCTCTTCCCTTGTCACAATACCTTTGTCTGAAGAGGTGTTTTGTTTGGTACATCTCAGACTGCTTGAGGTCAAGGCTCCCTGAGCTCACCCTTGCTTCACCCTGGCATACATTCATTCACAAGCAACCGCTGCAGAGCTGAACAGGCAGTGGGGTGCTTGACAGTGGAATGAGAATATTCTGTTGCCTCACTTGGCAGGAGAAAGCCACAGCTTCCCATTGGAGTCAGCAGCCTCTCTCTCTCTGTCTGTCTGTCTGTCTCTCTCTCTGTCTCTCTGTCTCTGTCTCTCTCTGTCTCTGTCTCTCTCTCTGTCTGTCTCTCTCTGTCTCTCTCTGTCTCTCTGTCTCTGTCTGTCTCTCTCTGTCTCTGTCTGTCTGTCTCTCTGTCTCTCTCTCTGTCTCTCTCTCTCTCTCTGTGTGTCTCTCTCTCTCTCCCCCTCTGTCTCTTTGTCTCCTCCCCCCATCTCTCTCACCCTTATCCACTCTATCCTTGTTCATTTCTGTCACACTATCCCTGCCTGCAGATGGAGCTTCTGCCATGTCCTGTAAACCCAGGGCGGTGTTAGCTCTGGAAATTCAGATTCCCAGAAAGGACAAGTAGTCTGGGGCCCTACAGCTTTGGCAAGCCCCGTAGGTGATTTAGATGTCTGAAAGGTTAAGGGAAGGGGCTAGAGAATTAGCTCAGCAGTTAAGAGCACTTTGATACATTTGCAGAAGACCCAGGTTCCCTTCCCAGCACCCCCATGGAGCCTCACAACCATCTCTGGCCTCTGGAGGTCAGGCATGCACAATACGCATGAGCGTACATTCAGGCAAAAGACTCCTATACACAATTAGTAAAATAATCTGAAGAGGGAGGATGACTGCTGTGGAGACCTGCTTCCCGGTGTGTCCTAATACTGGGTCCTTCTCTCCAGGAGCCTTGCTCTTCTGGTTGCTTCTTTCCTCTTCCCGTTCACCATCTTGCTCCCTCCTGAGGAACAGGGTGCACTATAGGTATGAGGCTTTCCAGTGGTGGCTGAAATGAACCAGACCACCCCTACCCCCACCTAGAGTCTGGGTCCAAGCTTGAGAGAGAGAGAGGGCTGGCTGGGATGGCTTGCCCGAAGTGCTGTACTGTCTCTTTATACAGGAGCCTTGCCATGGTAGGCATCCTAAAGGGAGATTTGCCGACCGTGGTCCTCTTGGGATTTGGGCAGCTTGGGTGCGCCCTTCGCAGTTCTTAAAAGATGCCCTTTACCGCGGGGATTCTTCCTGGCCACGATCTGGCAGAGGAGTGGGAGAAAAAAAAAAGAGTCTTTCTTGTGCGCTGAAAGGTGCGTGTGTGTAACGCGCTGTCCTGGGATAATTTTAACTCAGAGGGCGGCCAGAAAATGTTGCTGGATTTTTTCTTTCCAGCCCACTCGGCGCCCCGTCGGCCCAGGTGGGCCTAGCTGAATGGGGGGCTTGTGCGCGGGCGGGGCGGGGCAGGGCGGGGCGCAGGGCCTCGCGCCGCCCCCAGCCCCTCTCCCCACCCTGCTGCCCGGCGCCAGCCGCTCAGAACGCCAGCCAGCCAGCCAGCCATGACCGGAGCTCCTGTCCTAGCCCTGCTGCTGCTGGGGCAGCTTCTGACGGCTACCTCCGCGCAGGTGAGCGCGAGCCCTCGGGTGCCGGCCGGGTCGGGGATAGGGCTGGACGTCGAACCTCACAGCCAGAGACAGCTCGAGCTTCCTGGGTCAAGTCCTGAGTCCCGCCCCCAGGACCCTCGAGGACGTCTATGGCAGCCTCCTCGCCGCCTTCCTTACTCCGGCGGGCAAACTCTAGTGATGCAGCCGAGCCCCACGGACACCAGGACATATCATCAACCATGATCCTGGGCTCCCACTTGTCTTCGCCCAACTGGGTCAGGCCACTGAAGGCGCTGCCACCGCGCTCAGAGCACACAATGTTGCCTTTGTTCCTGGAGACTCCCTGCGGAGCCACGAAGCAGCCACTACTGGAGCAAGTGGGGATAAACTGTGTCTCCGCACACACCAGGCTCCAGCCCTGGAGACTTTGGGGTTTTCTAGCGGGCAAGAAAGGGGAAGTCATGGGTCATTGTCACAGGCCCCAGAATTACTTGGGCTGGGGAAGATGGGACTGGCACGGTGGTAAAGAGGGCTACCTGATAACTTTTCTTAATTTCAGAAAGTGGGACCTCGAGGACCCCCTGGTCCCCAAGGGCCTCCTGGAAAGCCCGGCAAGGATGGCATCGACGTGAGTTGGGAGAAGAATGGGGAAGGTGCCCTGAGACTCCTGGCCTTGTGACCACACATGCAAGCCCCTCCTCTGAGAGCTTGGGTGATACAGAATACCCCTTAGCGGGGCTGAAAGACCCCATTCCTCTTCGGGTTAGGTCCTGGGGTACGGATAACAGGGTGATCCTTGACTAAAACAGTGAGCCTTGAAAGATGCATGTACCTCTGTAGTCTAGGGGTTACTCTGGGGACCTGGGGATCTAGTTAGGGGCTGAGAATCGAGTCAGCCTTAGATGGGGATGGAGGCCAGTTTAGCCTCAGAGATAGCGTCTCGTTCAGTTATGGCCCAAACAATTTGGGAAGGCACCTGCAGTCTTGTAGCTCTACCCCCACCCCCTCCCACCATCTGGAGTAGAAAGCTTCCCGCAGGCTCTTCTCCAGGAAGGGCAGCCTCCATTCATGTTATTCCCCTAGGGATGCACGCCATAGATAGGAGGTATAAGAAGCTTCACCAAGAGTTCCCTGAATCCGTCCCAGTACCTAGCTCAGCCATAATGGTCACAGGCTCCCTCACACCCTTCCTGGCCTACCTTGTTGGACCTAGGTTGCCCAGGACCTTATCCTCCGAACCCCCTCTGTCTTAGCTGGGCATCCAGGCTTTAAGATCCTTCCTTAAAATAATCTCAAAGTCTCGGTTGAAAGATCCAGCCACCCTAGCAGGTGTCCACGGAGAATGCAGATGCTGGGACGTCTTTCTGGAAAATGGGGAGGAACTGCCATCTCCCAGACAGATGGAGTCAAGATGCTCAGATCACCATAGCCACTTCCTATTCCCTGGAGGCTGCTGTGTCCCTGTGTTCCCAAGAGATCCCCAAATGCCGAGCCTGTTTCTAGCTCACCCCATCCCTGGCTGGCCTGCAGAGGAGAGACCCCAGATATAAATGAGACGGTCTGAGGAACCCCCCCCCATAATGTCTTCATGGGCCAGGCTTCTAGGGCTGGATTGGAGAATAGCCCAGCTCTAGGGTGGGTTTTCTATTCTCGGGGGGGGGGGGGTTACACGTGGTCATTTTTGTTTTTTCAGGGAGAAGCTGGCCCTCCAGGTCTGCCTGGCCCTCCAGTAAGTGTCCCTGGTTGGAAAAGGGAGGTGTTTCTAGTATGCAAGGGAGAGATGAACATAGAAAACAAAGGATCATTGATGCCCTGGTCTCACTGCTGTGGGCCCGTGTTGCCCCAGGAGAGGCCTGAGGGCAGAGCCTGGAAGTGGGTGGGAGGGGAGCATATGGGACTCTGTGTTGGGTCTGGCCGGAAGCTTTCTTTGTGCCACTTTTCAGATAAACTAGAGAAGGGAGACAGTACAGCCCTATAGGTCTCTCCCCCCCTGTGCCTGTGCAGACTCTCCCACCTTGGTTGAAGATCTTGAGCCCACAGGCATTGCTATATAGTGACGCTCTGGTCTTCCTATATAGTCTTTTGCTGGGGAGGCTGGATCCGTTTGGTGGGCATCCAGTAGATGCAATGGGAGTGGGGTGGCCCCCCAGGGTCTAGCAGAGTAGCAGGGCAAGGAGCCCATCACCACAGCTGGGTGGTAGCCCACACGGAGCGGACACTAGAGCTTACAGCCAGATACTTCTTACGTAACTCTGTCCTTTCCTCCTACCAGGGACCCAAAGGGACCTCAGGGAAGCCAGGGAAGCCAGGAGAGGCAGGACTTCCAGGACTGCCTGGTGTGGATGTGAGTGTACCCTCCTACTGCATCCCTACCTCACCTCACCCCTGTCCCAGCCCAGCCAAGGGGTCAAGGCTTTCACTGCTGTTCTGCAGCTGGGCTTATTCAGGCAGGAAACCTTGTCCTGACAGAAGTTGCAGTAGCTCCCAGTGGGGGTCCCTGGCCTTCATCCCAGATGCTGCCAGCTCCTGGCTGGGAGAGAACCAGCTTCCAGTCGTTGGAAGTTGCCTCAGCTCTTACTGACCTGAGAACAAGTGCCCATTGTCAGGCTTCCTGTGCTGTGCCAGCCACACGGATGCTCCTGCAAGCTCCCTGATGCCTTGAAGGATAGCGGTGTACTCAAGGCTGTAGGACGAGCCAGGCAGGATCCGAGGACTGGGCTGCTGGACCTATTTGTTTTGCCATCCTTGGGTTTGGTAGCAGATTTTCCACGTGCTGGCCCCACCCCCTCCTGGAGCTCTGGGTACCCCATTCAAAGTGGTCCCTGCCTCTGGATTCATATCTAATAAAGTGTCTGTGGAAGTGGTGGCGCACGCCTTTAGTCCCAGTACTCAGGAGGCAGAGAGAGGCGTGTGGATCTCTGTGGGTGAGTTCCAGGACAGTCAGGGCTACACAGAAACACTGACTTGAAAAAAAGAAAAAAAATGTGTCTGTGGCTCATTGTCCCTGGGACATGGCACGTGCTTCTCATTGGTGGTTTCTTGAGCCTCCCCCCCCCCACCTACTTCTCCAGGGTTTGACCGGGAGAGATGGACCCCCAGGACCCAAAGGTGCCCCTGGAGAACGGGTAAGTGTTTCAATTCCAGTGTCCGTGGTCCAGCGGTCCAGTTCCCAGGTGGCCCACCATGCCATCAGGATGAAAGTTCTGTGGATGACTGGCTGGGCCCTGTCCCGTTCCTCCACTTCAGGGAAACGATGCTGGGTGTACAGCCCCTAGCCCCCTCTTTCCAGAAACCCCACAGCACCTAGTCACAGACATCTTGGCATTCAGACCGTGGCCGGGAGAGCTGATGTGGCAATGGGGGCACAGGATGAGCCTGGGTGTCTCTCCTCTCAGCGTCCCTGGACACCAGGGCCCCAGGGGAACCAGTACAGGAAGAGCCATGCCCCTGGACATCCCCCGAGTCGAACCATCTTCACTGAATCCCCCATTTACTAGCAAATTGGCTCTCTTTTCCCACTGCTTTGGAGGACAGATCTGACTACAAGTTCTTCACATGAGCACAAAGCACCTTCGGAGAGCTAGGCGGGTGGGTGGGACACAAAGACCGTAGCTAGTATGGGGCACACAGATGTGTGGGCACCTAATGAATGTAAGTCGCTTGTGGCTACCTGGGCTGGCACTGCTCAGCCTGGGTGGGATGGTCCCAGGCTGTCTGGGGATGCTTTGACTACAGCGTAAGGACTAGAGTGTACCCACGTCTTGGCAAACAAGTCATTTTAGACTCTGTCTGCCAAGCTGGTAGTTCCCTCACATAAACTGAGGCCTGAGGTCTCAGCAACATTTGCAAGCTAGTGTTGGCACAGCTTCCCAGGAGACAGTCTGGGGTCCCCTAACTGTGGCTCACACCTAACCCTTGTGTCCTGACTTCCAGAAGGTTCTGCCCACCCACTAGCAACTTTCTTGGCCACGACTTTCCTCCATACTCACTCAGGTTTCTGGTTCAACAGGACCTTGCATGGCCTCTGTTCTCTATAGCGGTTTTCACCCCTGCTCCCCAACTCGACAGAATTATGACTTAGGCTTAGAAATAGGTTTGCAAACAAAAGCCAGAGTTTCTTCCCTGTGTGCTCTAACCCCCCCTTTTTTCCCCTCTTCAGGGAAGTCTAGGTCCCCCAGGGCCACCAGGACTTGGGGTAAGTACCAACCCCTCCTCCCCCATGAGGTTTTGAAAACCAGTGTATCTAGTCATTGTGGGGTGACATCCTTGGGGTCCCCTGCTCTGGCCTGGAGGCCTAGAGCCTTACCTATGCTATGACCTCTGTGTTAGTGGGTGTGGTTCTCCTAAACCAAGTACCTTACTCTTCCTGGACCCCAAACTTGCCTTAGGGGTGGCAGGGCCAACCTATGCTCAGACCTTATTCTTGGCTTTGCAGGGGAAAGGCCTGCCTGGACCTCCCGTGAGTATGAATCACCCCCTGGGCCCCTCCCAAGGATGTAGATTCCCAGAGCAGCCATCACTGAATCCCACCTTGTGTGGGATACCCCAGATCGTGGCATAGTGGTCTTCTTAGGGCGTGACCTGACTTCTTCACATCTGAGTCCTGGCCTTCCAAAGGGCAGATGACCCTGGTGGGATTCCCTCACTCAGGGTCACAGGTGGCCCATTTCCCTCTTCTTTACCTTCTCCAGGGAGAGGCTGGAGTGAGTGGACTCCCAGGTGGGATTGGTCTGCGAGGCCCCCCGGTGAGTGACTGCCCCACTGTGTGGCCACTGTTTGAATACACAAAGCCTTAGTACCCACACCTAACCAGAGGCTCGGTGTTCCTCCTCCTCCTCACCTTCACCCAGTCCCCTCCATCTTCCCTGTACACTCCTCTCTGTTCCCTACCCCCTCCCCCATACTTGGTGGGTGCTGACAGAAGACCAGGCAGAGAGGCATCCATGACTCAGGGTGGCAGACAGATGTCAACACAGGCTTCATCCGCAGAGGATAAAGGGAGCTGTAGTATCCTCTACTTTGGGTGAAGCTGTTGGGGGCAGTCGGTGGGGCAGGCTCTGCTCTGAGTCATGACTTCTCTATAGGGACCCTCTGGACTTCCAGGCCTGCCCGGCCCCCCAGGACCTCCTGGACCTCCTGTAAGTACTGAGGAGGGGTCTCTGTCAGGCAGTCTAGACTAGGCTGGACCCCGCCTTAATCCCTGCCTGGGCTCTGCCATTTCCCAGAAGCAGTTGGGAGACGGGTTGGTACAGCATGAAAGGTCACCTTGCCCCGAGGACAGATGATTGCTGTTGTCACCTACTCTGCAGATGGGTCAGCAGTGCCTTGCACTGGCTACTGGGGAGATAGGGTTGAGGATTTCGAGCCCTCTGTTAGATGAAAACCAAGGACAGAGTGCGTAGGAGGGTGAATGGACACCAACTGCTTCTTCCTATGTTCAAGGGAAGCCCTGGAGTCCTCCCTGAAGGTGCTACTGATCTGCAGGTATGCTTCCTGGTGATTGTGGAGGGGCTATCAGCATAGGTACAAACCAACTCAGGTCCTGCTTTGGAGGAGGAGTCTTGCCTGGGGCCACTGCTTGGGAAGGGGACGGGGTTCCAAGACAGAGCCCCGCCCCCTCAGTATTGTCCTACCCATCCAGGGACCTGCTTTCCTGGCAGGAAGGCCCCAGAGGGAGTTCCTTGGGGGACTGAGCTTTGCAGATGACTCCAGGCACAAGCCTGGCCTCATCTTCTCTGCTCTCCGTCTGTCTACACCTGTGTCGCCCCTCACTAAGCCGCTAGTCACAGGGAAGCGGCACCTGATGAGTACAGTTCCAACAGGTGGTATCTCTGCCTCCTTCAGAGCCACCTCTCAGCTGTTTTCAGTATTGGGTGGTAAGCAGCCACTGCCCTGGTCGACTGGCAGGCCTAGTCTGTCTCAGGGGGTTTCTGGTTCCTACGAGACGGTTTGTGTCTAGTTTCGTCCCCGTGTGGATGCCGTTTCACTCCACACCAATGGTCACCTTCCCATCATTCTTCGTCCTTGCTCAACGTCCCCCAGAAGGGGAAAAGAGAGCCCTCCCAGAGGAGGACAGTGTTTAGCCTCTGGGATGGGCTAGTTGGTAGAAGTCACTACAGCTGTGTACCCAGGCTTGACCTGGCCAGTTCAGCATGAAGCTAGCTGGAAAGCTCCATCAGTGTCTTGGTATCTGGCGCAGGATATGCTGTCAAACCAGAGCACCAGTACGATTGGTCGAGCTCACATGGCATCCCTCCTAATAGCCTCCAGGTGCCCAGTCACATGAAGACCCCCTTTGTGGAGCCCTGAAGCCAGCAGCCAGCGTGTAAATAGCTGCTTTGAGGTTGAGCCTGTCTGTAGGGAGTGAGAGAGGGTGACTGGCTACAATCCAGCTCTCCACAGCCACTCACCACACCTCATGCCCAGCTCTGAATGGGGCCCTGTTTTAGGCTTGTCCACAGTCTCCCTCCCTGGTGAAAAGGTCCTTTTCTGCCCCCCAACCCCCCCCCACCCACCGCCGCCGCTAGTCTCTCTTGGTATCCTGCCCGAATTGTCTTGGAAGGATCTGACCCTTATGTTTTTCAATAGTGTCCTGCCATCTGCCCTCCGGGCCCCCCTGGCCCCCCAGGAATGCCAGGATTCAAGGTGAGTCAGGAGGTGACAAGCTGAGCATACGTCTCCACTGACAGAGGCCATCGGGTCCCCTCATGCTATGTAGTTTGGGGTTTCAGAAAGCCTGAGCCTAGACCCAGCTTGTTATGGTGGTGGTGGGGATATAATTGCCCATCAGCTAATCCCATTTTCTCTGCCCATCTTCTCACACTAGAAATGGGTGTGACCAGGCTAGGCCTGGCCTAAGAGGTCAGAGGAGAGAGAGAGAGAGAGAGAGAGAGAGAGAGAGAGAGGAGTGAGGGCTAACCCTAACCCTCCTCCTCTTGGGGGGGTCTTCGGGAAAGCACAGTCACAAACCCCCTCAGGTCTCAGTCTCCCTGTCTGTCTGGTTCCGCCTCTGATCCTGGATTCATGCCTGACTGACCGCACAGCCCTTGATTCTGCCTGTGCAGAATCAGGGGCAGCCACGGGTCTAGGGGCAGTGAGTTTCCATGTTTGCTTTCAGGGACCTACTGGCTACAAAGGGGAACAAGGAGAAGTAGGCAAAGATGGCGAGAAGGTAAGACGCCGCCCATGTAGGTTCCACTGACCTAGAAGCGGCAGCCATAAGGCGGAGGAGGGCGGCTGGTGGCTGGTGGTCCTGAAAAATCACAGGGAAAGGTTCTGGAGCCCCTGGGTAGGTACCTGTTGTGCTGAGAATCCCTGAGGACACTTGGCTTCTTGGGCCTAAAGTGTTCATAGAAGTCGCTGCCACTCTGACACAGTGGTCGCTGTCCTACAAGGCCCCTGCCGATCCTTGCCACATGCTGGGAAGAGGTCTGGGATACCCTTCTGATGGTAGGAGTGGCTGAGTGCAGACTTTGCTAGGTTGTACAGTGGGCACTCCCCCCCCCCTGCGCTTGACCAGGAAGGAGTGCCTAAGGAGGCCTGGGGGCTCTTTGTTTGAACAGAGACCTCTGGTCCTCCCTGGGAAGCGTGTGTGAGGTCACCATCATTTACTTAGCCTTTTCCCAACTAGAGGCAAGTGTCCCCCGCCCCCCGCCCCCCTCACTCAACCTCCGAGGCTCGGCTGTGATGAAGAGGAGTGGTGCCCCTCGTGGCTCAGGCTCACGGAAGGGGGGCCAGTGGGAAATGAAAGATGCTACAAGAACTAGGGTGAACTAGCTGACTCCTGCCTTCTCTGTCGTAGGGTAATCCTGGGCCCCCTGGGCCTCCTGGCATCCCAGGCACCGTGGGACTACAGGTGAGGCTAGGGGGGGATTAGGGAGGTCACCGAGGGAAGTTAGTTTAGACTTCAGGGACAAGTAACCGGCTCCCCGGAGAGGGTCGCATCCAGGGTGACACCAAGGCTTGCGTCGCTCCCTCCAGGAGCTTTAGTTGAAGTCAAGCACTTCTAGGAAAGATGCCAAGGCCTTGGGGCCCTCGGGGGCAAGGCCTATGGTTGCCGTTCAGGTAGATGGACCCTCTGGCCCCTGTAGCACCCGTTCTGTTCTCTCAGGGCCCAAGAGGATTACAAGGACTTCCAGGACCAGTTGGGCCCCCTGGGGACCGGGTAAGTACTACTGACTCCATGGTGGGGGGTGAGGAGGGGAGGCCGTGGGTCAGCGGAGGTCAGTCCTGGGATTGTCCTTACCCAGACTTAACTCAGGCTCAAGATGAAAAGAGGCTCAGCACCCTGAATCTCAGGGTTCTTGCTGGCTGGCAACTTGGGGCTGGGCTGGAGCCTCCCGTAGGAGGACATCAAATACCTTCTCTCCTCTACAGGGTCCCATTGGGTTTCGGGGTCCCCCTGGGATCCCAGGAGCACCCGGGAAAGTGGTATGTATCTCTCTGGGCTGGGGGTAGGGGTGGGGGAGGACCACACACCGGACCAGGCCCTTTGACCCTCAACCCCACCACCCTGCTGCCAGTTCACTCAAGAGTGCTCCCCTCTGTCCCACTTGGATTTCCCCTAGCCCTGTCAGTCCCAGGGTGAGCTGTCCATAGACAGACACATGAGGCAGCCAGATATACACCAAGGGGTGGTGGTGGTGTATCTGTGAGGTCCAGGGCATATGAGAAGTAGCAGCATGGGGCATGGGGCATGCCCCGGTGACAGCACAGCTGGGGTGCATGGGGTATCTGACCTCCATGGGAGACCTGCCTCCACTGTTGTCTGGATAGGAGCTGGGGGGAGAGGGGTGTCACCGTCCTGTGTGACCATCTGCAATAGCTTCTGACTCAGTCTAGAGGGCTGAACCTGGAAAAAACCTAGAAGGGACCCCAGTCAGAATATACAGCTTTCCTACCTTCTCTGGGTTGGTCACACTGTCCCTACCCCCTTGTTATGTTTTAGGGTGACAGAGGTGAAAGGGGTCCAGAAGGGTTCCGAGGCCCTAAGGGTGACACGGTAAGTAAAGCAGGAGCTTGGTTCTCTGGACCCGTCTGTGAAAGAGCCTGACCGAACTCCTAACTAGAGTTGGGGGAGGAGGACACTTAGAGGACCTCTGCCAGGGGCATGAGGGTTCTTCGTGCTGCACCCTATTCTGGAAAGGGGTATAACGCTGGAAATGGGCCAGGCGTTGGTGGCGCACGCCTTTAATCCCAGCACTCGGGAGGCAGAGGCAGGTGGATCTCTGTGAGTTCGAGGCCAGCCTGGTCTACAGAGCAAGTTCCAGGACAGCCAGGGTTATTACACTTGGGAAAAAAAGGGGGGAGTGGCTATGAAATAGGGTCTGGATCTGAAGGGTCCCAGCCCTCTCCCTGCCTGGCAGCCAGCAGTGAGAACCTCAGGGCAGAAGGCTGGGGCCTGGGCCACTGAACTTAGACCTGGCTCCAGCCCAGCCCTAGGAATTAGACAGGCAGTGTCCTCCCCCCCCCTCCACTAATCTCAGACTGCCAGCTGCAGATGGAAACTCTGTAGCGAGGCGTGTGGACGGGAGCTACATGGTAGGCACCCAGGCTTCTCCTGAACAGAAGTGGCTAGTCACAAACATTTGCCTCTGGCAGCCTCAAAACGTCTTCTTCCGCCGGGCGGTGGTGGCGCATGCCTTTAATCCCAGCACTCGGGAGGCAGAGGCAGGCGGATCTCTGTGAGTTCAAGGCCAGGCTGGACCGATAGCCTCCAAAACAATACAGAGAAACCCTGTCTCGTAAAAAACCAAACCCCCCCAAAAAAAGTCTTCTTCCCTACCCAAGACCAGCGCTGAGCAGTGTCCATAAATCCTAAGGGTTCTACATGCCTGAAGAAGCCCTGGTAACAGGGTCTATCCGCAGTGGTTGGGATGAGCCATGTGTCTCCAGTTGAAGCACAGCATACCTGATATCCCGAAAGCTGGGCGTGTGTGGCTGAACCTATAGGGACATACATAGGGAGGCAGGATGGGATATTCCTCAGGGTTCCAACTTCAGCTGTTTCTGTCCCGTGTTTCCTTTTAGGGCAGGCCTGGTCCCAAAGGAATCCCCGGAGTGGCCGGACCAGGTGGAGAACCAGTGAGTATCTCAGGTATTCGTGGCATCAGGCCTGGTGTCATGGTCACATAGACTGCCCCAACATTGCTATTCCTCTTGGCTGAGCTCTTACCATTCGTCGTCATTCTCCTCAGGTTCTTTCCACAGTCCCTTCCATGCACAGGGGCCTGCTTCACCTATGATGGGCCAGGGACCCTATTCACAAGTGCCTGTACTATCTGTAGTCTAACCCGCTAGTATCTCCTTGTCATTTTAACCACTGTGGTTCAGCAATTCCCAGGAGCCTCAGAAACCCACAGCAGAACCTAGCAGTCCCCAACAGCCCCAGCACCCACCAGCTGCTCCAGAAATCCATGGTCTCCCTGGAATACACCAACGTCTCCAGCAGCCCCAACAGCTCCCAGAAACCTACAGGGGCACCTAGTGTCTCCCAGCAGCCTGAAACACCTCCCCACAGCAGCCCGCATCTCCCTTTTGCTCCAGCCTGTAGTTCCGCAGCTGCTGTAACCCTGTAGAAATCAGTACCCTGGGAAGAAGGGTGGTAGCATAGGGCCAGCGGGGCTGGAGAGACGGCTCAGAGGTTAAGAGCACTGACTGCTTTTCCAGGGGTCCTGAGTTCAATTCCCAGCAACCACATGGTGGCTCACAACCATCTACAAATCAATCTGGTGCCCTCTTCTGGCATGTAGGCAGAATACTGAGTATGTAATAAATAAATAAATCTTAAAAAAAAAAAGAAGAAGAATAGGGCCAGCAAACTCAGATGGGTAAGCCGAGCTCCATGGGTACCCTGTCTACCCGACTCCCTTGCAAGGCCTCTGAGGGTAGCATATAGCCACCTAGCCAGGGAAGCACAGTCAGCCTCGGGGACTCGAGAGACACTTTTAGCTTAGAACGTAAGGAAGGGGTTTCTCCGTGGAACGAGGTAATTCTGTCTGTCTGAAGGGCCTAACACTGTCACTTGTCCTTAGGGCATGCCAGGCAAGGATGGCCAGGATGGTGTGCCAGGGCTTGATGGCGAGAAGGTTGGTACCTGGCAGGACGCTTTCTGGGAGGAGACGGGAGAGGAGTTCGGCTTCTCCAGGCCTTAGCATCGTTTTTTTTTTTTTCCTCCTCGTACCCTAATCACTGTCCTTGCAGGGAGAGGCTGGTCGCAATGGTGCCCCAGGAGAGAAGGGCCCCAATGGGCTGCCGGTGAGTGCCCAAGCTAGGTAGCTTAGTTCCTCTAGGATTAGCTCCTGCAGGTGTCCTAGGAAGAACTCTGTTGGGGTCTGGCACAGCCCTGGTGCGGGAGGACAGGGACCTGCTTTAACACATCTGTACTCTAGGGTGGGGGACAAGTGCAAATGAACCCGTATTCGTTCTGGATATTGTGGGGTCACCCTTGTGGGCCCTGCCTGGGAGTGCTGTCAAGGCGCTGCATCAGGCTGGGAAGGCGGTGAGAGGCCCACGGTGGGTCAGCTTTACCCTTTGGGGTACTTTGTCCGGCCTGGGCACACTGCGCATGCGCAGACCGCGCAACCGCGCTGTGAAATATTCCCTGCGTGCACGCCCTCCTCCGTGGGCTCAGCAGCCTTGGTTCTGATGCTGGCTCCCAGCCCAAACCCTGTGATCCCTAGCATTATCCCTAATCTGAACTCCAGCCTTGACCTAGACTTGTTATCTTGACTTCAACCCTGAACCTGACCCAGGCTCTTACTTGACCCTGACCCTGATCCCTGTCCTGGCAGGGGCTCCCTGGACGAGCCGGGTCCAAAGGCGAGAAGGGAGAACCGGTGAGTGGCTGCTTCCCCCGCAACCCCCAGAGAGGGGAGGCACAGCCGGGCAGTGCTCCAGCGGTGGTGATGGAGGGAGGGGACATAGCATTCTCTGTCTCCTCACTTCTGCAGGGTAGAGCTGGGGAGTTGGGTGAGGCTGGCCCTTCTGGAGAGCCAGGTATCCCTGTGAGTATCCGTAACCCTGCCCTATGTGTACATAGGAGGACGGGCCCCCTCCCCCTACCTCTCCCCCCTACGCGGACACAAGGACTCTACCCCTCCAGCGTGTATACATGGAAACCTGCCCTCTCCACATGCGCGCAGGGGTACCTTGCTTCTTTCCCCGTGTGCACACAAGGGACCCTGCCCTTTCCCTACATGTATATGGAGATTCTGCCGGGTATCTGCCCCTCCCACCGTGCACACAGAAACTCCTCCCTTCCTTCCACGTGTACGCATGTCCTCTGGCCCTCTCCTAAAGGAACATGGGCACTCTCCTCACGTAAGTCACATGTCACATGCTGCCCCTTACCTCTTCTCTCCTTGCAGGGAGATGTTGGTGTTCCGGGGGAGCGTGGCGAGGCTGGCCACAGGGGCTCAGCGGTGAGTGGCAGGACATAGCTCCCTGGGAACGGGCACAGAGGCGTAGCTTATGAGCAAGAAGGGGTAGCACTTTGGGTGTATAAATGGCCAAATCCATGAAACCTGGGGACGGTAAGAAATGGGGGAAGTCTCGCCTTTTCATCCCTCACCCTCTGGAATAATGGTGCCATGCTGGGCTACTTTAACCTCAAATTCTTCATGCTGCCCTGACGCTGAGACCCTGGCAAGTTTAGGTTGAAATTCCCAAGCCTTGTTCTATAACCTGTGGATTCAACCTTCTCTAGCACCCTGTGGAAGGCACTGGGCATTGGTACCTGACACTGAACCAGCATGATAACTCGGGTAGAGACCGAGATCTGCTCCCCACACTTAATTGCCCCAGAAGGTGTCTGTGCCTGTGCCTCCAAAACTAGTAACTTAGTGGCATGGCTTAAGACTCATTCTCTGTCCACCCAACGCCCCAAGGAGGCATAGCTGGGTTTCCTGGGCCACAAAGGCTGTTAGGGCCTCCATGGACATCCCAATATCCAATTTATCTTGGTCTTTTAGGGGGCCCTTGGCCCACAAGGTCCTCCTGGGGCTCCCGGCGTCCGTGGCTTCCAGGTAGGTAAAGTTGGAGTAAGGGTTTGAGCCAGGGCAATGAGCTCTGGTTGTCTGGGCGGAGGAGGCTGGCTGGGTTCTTAGGAGTACTGACTGGCTGGGATGTTATCCAATCCACAGGGCCGTAAGGGCAACGTAGGAGAACCTGGCCTTCCAGGTCCCCAAGGCCTACGGGGTGATGTGGGTGACCGGGTAAGTGTCTTTCTCTTGTGCCTCCCTGCTCTAACCAGTCCAGGAACAGTAGCATCAACTCTGTGAACAGCTGCCCTTGGTCCTTTTATGGCTCGTTCTTTTGGTGTTCTTCTTGGGCAAGAGGAGATCTAGAATACTCACTGCTCTGTGGCAAGCTCCACTTGCAGACCTAAAAGAACCAGTAATTTGGGGCAAGGGCAGAGGCAGCCACTTGAGGCTCTAGGCTCCGGGCTACCTGTTGGGTGTGAGCTGAGACCCGAATGACCCTAGTGTTTCAAACATGTAACTTTCCAAGACTCTATACTGCTGGTCCTAGGACAGCCAGTGATATCGGTGTTCTGCAGGGCCAGGGCCCCGGGGAGTTGGGGCTTACTCGTGTCCTCATTCCTGGGATCCCCCGGGTGGAGGTCGGGGTCTTGTCGGGAGCCTAGACCGTATACCAGGTCGTTAGGGGCTATGTGGTTGCTTTCTTGGTTCCCCACTGGGCAGGGACAATCCCTCTAAAGATGTGTACATTCAGGCATTGGAGGCTCCAGGACCCTTTACAGACACAGGGAGCTACAGAAACTTCACACCACCACACAGCAGGGACAGAAGGTGCTTTATTAACCTCCAAGCAGGAAATTCCAGGGGTTAGGGATCTTGCCAACAATTCCAAGGACCCTAAGCTAATGGAGGGAAAAGCTTGGCTGTGGCAGTGCTAGTGCCGGCCCCTGTCCCAGGGGGCTGGAGGCGCTCTTTCCTGGCTTCCTCGTCCTTGAATAGCTCTTGCCTTTGCTGTCACATTTGAATTCTCTTTTTAAAAAAAGATTTATTTTTATTTTATGTGTTTGGGTATATGCAAGCATGTACGTATGTGTATTGTGTGTATGCAGGAGCCCAAGGATATCTGTGTGTGTGAGAGAGACGGGGGGGGGGAGCTAGAGATATAGACAGAGAATACCTTCACAAGTCATAGACATTAATAATTCATTGTCCCCTGGGGGTGACGGGCAGCTGCTGTCCTGGGAGAACCTATGGGGCATGGAGGGCTGTGAGCTGCTGCTATCTATAAACTTGGGTTTGGCAGCTGGGGCTGGGTTCTGGTTCTGAGCCCCCTGCCATAAGAGAAATTGTTATGCCTACTCTAGGTGGGATTCCTGCCTCTGCTGTGCAGAGCAGTGACCTTCTGTGGGGATCCCCAGGATTTCTCTAATCCAGAACCTTCTCTCTGCCCAGGGTCCAGGAGGTGCCACAGGCCCTAAAGGAGACCAGGTGAGCTCAAGTCCCTTGCATGTGAGGTCAGCTCTAAGCTCTAAGCCGTCTGGCTGTGGGTTTACTTTCAAAGCTCTTGAGAGGCTCCTTCGATTCTTTTCTCTGTCCATATTGCTTCTGATTTCCTCCGCCCCTGCTTAGCACAGTCCTGGACATCGGAGGGGACAAAGTCAGCTGCTTTACTGGGTACACATAGTTGTCTCCACGATCAATGTGTGGCCCTAGGCTGTGGTGGGGGAAGCTACTTCTGATGAGGGAAAAACTGGCTTTGTAAAAGGAGTGAAGAGAAGTGAAGGCTGGGCTCTAAGACTCGTGTTGCAAAGCAGGTTAGGGCCGTGGGGCTTCTCTCTGAGGCCATTTCCTCCCTGAAACAGCTCAGGGAGGGTGCGGGTGAGCGGGTGAGCTGTGGTGGCTGCTGCAGTCCATCCTCCCATCAGCTGCTTCCTCTTCTCTGGGTGATCCAGGGCTTCCCCACATAACGCTAGCAGGAAAGCCTCGCTGTGAAAATAAGTGGCTTCAGCTTTGTGAGCCTCTTGGGGCTGTGGCTTTTGGGTTCTTGTGTTGCTTTGGGTGCTCCTTCAAGTACAGGATCCTGGCCTAGACTCTGGCCTCGGTCCTAGGGTCAGTCGACAGACAAGTGGCTTCAGGTGGGGAGGAGCCGATGGTAACTTTAGTGTGTCATCCTCAGGGCATTGCAGGTTCTGATGGTCTTCCAGGGGACAAAGGAGAGATGGTGAGTATGCCTGAACCCCTCACTGCCAACTGAGAGTCACCTGGTCGGTTTGGGTGGATCAGGTATCTGAAGATGGCAGGTTAAGTTATGAAATAGCACCCACAAGTGCCCAGGCCTTGCCATCCCAGTTAGAGTGTAGGCGGTGGGAGAGTGGGGTCCAGAAGACACAGGCAGGTTAATTCCCTGCTAAGGTTAGGACTCTCCGAGGGCCTTGTCACATTCTGCCCAGAAAAGCCAGCCTTGCTTGAGTCAGCTGCTGCTGAGGTCTACGCGGAGAAAACCCCACTTTCAGAGCTGGAACTTGGATCTATTACAAAGGAACTTTGACTAAGTCATTCACAGCTCTCCCGGAGGCACCAGGAACAGAACCGCCTTGGAACTCAAATGGAAAGGCCTTTGTGGCCTCAAGGTGGCCAGGGACTTCAATTCTGCGGTGATGTCTTTCCTTTTTGTCCAAGTGACACAGAGGAAGCATGGCTTCTGGGATCCTGCCTTCAGGCAGCAAACCCTCAGCCACTGGGAACCTCCTATGCGTTTCACAAATAATCCCAGTTAATTGTACTTTATTTTGAAAAACTCTTGACAGGGCTTTAGAATCAGCCCCACCTGGTCACTCTTTTTTTTTTTTTTTTTTTTTTTTTTTTTGTTTTTCGAGACAGGGTTTCTCTGTAGCTTTGGAGGTTGACCTGGAACTCACTCTGTAGACCAGGCTGGCCTCGAACTCACAGAGATCCTCCTGCCTCTGCCTCCCAAGTGCTGGGATTAAAGGTGTGCGCCACCAGTGTGCGCCACCAACGCCCGGCCCACCTGGTCACTCTTAAACTGGTGGAGTGGTACGCAGTGGCTGTGCGGGACAGAGCCCCCGCCAGCTAAGAAACCTCTGCATGGTGCCAGTTCCCATAAATGGTGAGCCAGGTGGGGACCTCGTCCCCTGTCCTTTCCTGCTTTGTCTGTGGACAATCAGCTCACAATTGTGAGCAGAGCCCATAGATGGGCCCAATCAGCCCACTGATACATTTGGGACCAACCATTTCTGAGGGGAAAGGCGCATGGTTCCGGGAAGGAGATGTTCAGCTCAGCATTTACAATGCTGGAGTGAAGAGACTGGGGGGAAGCAGGCCAGACAGGTGTAAGAGCAGATGCCATGCAGCCACTAAAATCAGGCTAAGAGGTTTTATTTTTTAATTTTATTTTTATTTATTCATTTTTTTTGAGACAGGGTTTCTCTGTATTGTTTTTGGAGGCTGTCCTGGAACTCGCTCTGTAGACCAGGCTGGCCTCGAACTCACAGAGATCCGCCTGCCTCTGGCTCCCAAGTGCTGGGATTAAAGGCGTGCGCCACCAACGCCCGGTGGCTAAGAGGTTTTAAAATAGCATCTGTAGGCGAGGAAGAAGAGCCAGTGTGTTCATGAGAGAGGGCCTGGAGTGCTAGCTTGGGTGCTGTCCTCCACTGATCGTGTGCTAGGTCAGCTTTTAGAGCCACATCCACAAACCCCCTACATAGTCAAAGCATACACTTAGCTTCCTCTTCACAGGGTCCCGATGGCCCCGTTGGACAAAAAGGAGAGGTGAGTGCCTGACAAGATACCTTCGACAACGAATCCAAGGAGCCCACGGGCTCCCCTTCACCTCTGGGTGGGTAGCTGCCCTGTGAGGTACTGCCTGGATCTGAGACCCGGTGGCCACTCACGCCTGAGGTTCAGGTCTTCCCAAGGAGGGCTCGCTCTGACTCCCTTCCTCCTGTTTTTCTGCAGTCTGGCAGCCGAGGGGAACTGGGCCCCAAAGGTATCCAGGGCCCCAATGGCACTAGTGGCGTCCAGGGTGTCCCTGGTCCCCCAGGGCCACTGGGCCTGCAAGGCCTGCAGGGTGTCCCAGGCATCACAGGGAAGCCTGGAGTTCCGGTTCGTGACTTTTCCTTTCTCTTGTGTTGGGGGTTGCTGGGCTTGTGCTGGGTTTGCGTCATAATTTCTTTTGTGAACTGCCAGTTTGGGGAGCGAGGTGTTTGGGGTATGTCAGGGCTACTGGCATGCTGGCCCAGCTGCTGATGAACCTGGGTGAATTTCAGGGCAAGGAAGCCAGCGAACAGCGCATCAGGGAGCTTTGTGGGGGGATGATCAGTGGTGAGTCTCCCGTGTCTCCCGTGCATTCCTTCACCCCTCACACAGCTTCTGCCCCTGGGCCACTGTCCTCCCCACCCTCCCTGTCCTCTGACCTCAAGGAGAGAGACCCTCTTCCCTGGGCTTAACACAAGGCGCAGGGCACTCAGAGAAGCCCCAGCTAACACTACTGAGGGCAACAGTTACAAGGAAGAGGTTGGGCGGTGGTGGTGCACACCTTTAATCTCAGCACTCGGGAGGCAGAGGCAGGCCGGTCTGGTCTAAGAGAGTTCCAGGACAGCCAGGGGAACACAGGAAAACCCTGTCCCAGAAAACAAGGAAGAAAGAAACCACTGTGCTCCTTGGCCAGGAGGGACAGTTCCTTCCCTGAGTGGTTTTGAACTTCTCATCCCAGCATGTGAAGTGTTGTGAGAGAAGGGGGGGGCTCTCGTTTCCCCCTGGTATACCGTAGATCAGTTAATAACCATTTTTGGTCAGTAAGTGAATTCCCTTCTGAAAGATAGCTATGTTGTACTTTGCGTGCCTTCATACTTTGATAATCCTCTCTGAAGTGTGTACTTGGCACCCTGTTTCCCAAAAGAGCAAATCGCACAGTTGGCTGCACACCTGAGGAAGCCCTTAGCACCAGGCTCCATCGGCAGGCCTGGCCCAGCTGGCCCCCCAGGACCTCCAGGCCCTCCAGGATCCATCGGCCACCCTGGTGCTCGGGGTCCCCCTGGATACCGTGGTCCCACTGGGGAGCTGGGAGATCCTGGACCTAGAGGTAAGTAGGTGATCCAAGCAAGACATGGTCCTGCCACTGTGATGGCACTGTCTCAGTCACCAGCCCCACCCTCCCACGCTGAGAGGTCTTACTCCTGAGGTCCAGGGAGGAGAGGACTTGAGGGACATTCAGGTCCACTGTCACCCGAATGAGGTTGCCATTTCTGCCCTTGATTGGCTTCATGGTCATGAGACCTGAGAACAACACACATTTTATGCTGGCCTAGTCACCCAGTTCTACTGTCCACATGGCTCACCTAGAAATGCTATAAAGACGCAGCCAACAATCAGGCCTTTGTGCTTCTGAGGCCGCCACAGGTAGTTTCTTACCATTCTGTGGGAAGCACGGCAATCTGAAATGTGATATTTTTCTCAAATACCACCAGGACAAAATCTGTTGGTCATGTGAGCAATACATAATCGGAACCCATTTTCACTCGAGAGCTCAGACTTTAATGAAGACCAGTAGTACATGACAATGTCAGTTGCAATAGAAACAACTCGTTCAAACGGTATTTAAGATTATATGAATCAGGGAGCCTTTGAGAGGAAGAGACAGGTCAGACCTGTCTGCTGGTGTCATAGCTACTAGCGCATAGTGTGACAGCTTGCTTGAAGAAAGCTGGGACACCAGAGACAAGCTGGGGGTCGTAATGACACATTGAGTTGATGGACATCAGCCTTTCCCGAAAACCTTTGGGATTTGTGTATTTTAAAAGTGTAGACCTCTCAAGCCTCATGTCATTGGTGACAAATCTGAAACTTCTGATTCCACCTGGTTCTGACTGATTGGCCAATAGCTTCCTGCTTCCCAAAAGTAGCTTAAGAAAGTAACCCTGTATGGGAAGTGATTCTCTGAGTCCCTCATCGTCGCCAAGGTTACGCTGAAAACTTGGGTAGGTGGATGGGCTTGGTATAATTTGGGTGTCATTTTTAGCCTGTTTAAAAAATTCTTGGAGATTGAGGGATTTCAACACAGGAGAGCAAACACGGAGAGTTCATCTTGTTTCAGTGCAGTGTCTGTCCCAAGTCAACTTTCAGATGACTGTTCTCTTGGTCATTGCTCCAGAGTGTGGGCTTCTCGGGTAGTCTGTGCCATCTGGTGTCGTGTGAGTGACTGCCATCTTTAAAAACATATGGGATTTCCTCCAAACAGGTATCTGAATTCCTTCTAGACTGAAAATAAAATTTAGAGCATTATGTACCTGTATAGATGCGCTGAGAAAAACAGCTGGACACTACAGGCCATGACAGAGACACAGAGGTCTCAGGAAGCCTGCTGGGACGGCCACACAAACATGTTTTTTATTTGAAAGTGAACATGCCACACTGTCCACTCTGTGTGAGGCAGTGGGCACCTTTAATTTTGAGTGTGCATCAGGATGCCATGAACCTGCCGTAGACTTTCTCAAACATCAAGCTCAGGCCATGGCCATTGCTGTCCCTGTTCTCCCCTCCCTGAAACTCATATTGAAAATATTAACACCAAACAACACAATTGTTTCCGAAGCATAAATATTTCAAACAAAACTAGGACTCCACCAGTGATTTTGGAGGTAAGAGTGGAGTCAGCTGATGTGTTGGGGATGTAGGTGTGTACCTTGGTGAAGAGCCTCACTTAAAAGCAACAAGACGGGAAAGGCCATCACTGTGGATGGGGAGCTGTTCTAACATGCCTGTGTCTTTCCTCACTGCAGGAAGCCAGGGTGACAGAGGAGACAAGGGTGCAACAGGTGCAGGACTGGATGGGCCTCCTGGGGACCAGGGACCCCAAGGTAGGCCACTGTCGTCACACAGTTCTTCTGGGGAAGGGCTGGGAGTGTCACTGGTTAGGAACTGCTTTTATAATCGCTTTAGTATATAGAAACACTGGATAATCAGTGACCAGTAGTTTTTCTGTATCTAACTTTAGCTAAATAGGTTTGGTTAACTTCTTGCCAAATATACTGTCTATTCCAGAAAATTAATCTCTCTTAATTGACCACATAGACTTGATTCTTTTTGTTTCTACTTTGTGTGTGTGCATACATGTGTGTGTGCACACATACATGGCACGCATGCACATGTACCACAACACACGTGTGGAGGAGTCAGTTCTCCTCTACTTTTACGTGAGCTCTGGACATTAAATTCGAGTTACCAGGCTTATAGGCAAATACTGCCTACCGAGTCATCCTGATTGCCACTCAGTGTCTTAATTGTAAACAGCCAGATGCTGGGGGCTAGGCGTGGACTAGGTGTGGTGGCATACACTTGTGATCCCAGCACCTGGGAGGAGGGTGAAGTCATGCCATCCGCAGGCCCCCTTAGGAATTTCACCGGCAGCTATGCTTCCTAAGGAGTGTTCCTCTCTGGGTTCCTCTAGCCAGATCCGTGCTTGGGTGACCCTCCCTGCCTCCTCTGTGAGGTGCAACCCCTCTCCTTTGTAAGGTGCCCCCACCTAATAAGGCTCATTACCCTCCCTCATGAGGTGCAGCCCCTCTCCCTGAGGTGCAACCTCCCTTCTCTTCAAGGCACCCCTACCCTGACTGTTTATTTGCTGTGCTGACTGCCCTGTTGGCAACCCCAGGCTACAGTTCCACCTGTATGTCCTTAAGTATTACCTCCAAGTTTCCACTCCCAGCTGTGCCCTCACAGTTGGGTAATATCATGGGGTAACTAAAGCTCCCCAACTTCCTCCAGGTTGCCTGCCAACTCCAAATATGTTTTTTATTTTTAAGATTTTTATTTATGTATTTTATGTACAGAGGTGTTTTTTTTTCTGCAAGTACATCTTCATACCAGAAAAGAGCATCAAATTCCATGAGACTACAGTTATAGACAGTTGTAAGCTACCATATGAATGCTGGGAATTGAACTCAGGACCTCAGAAAAGGAGCCAGTGATTTTAACTGCTGAGCCATCTCTCCAGCCCCTCCAAATACACTCTTGACAGAACACCCCACAAGCCCTTCTGAGAGCAGAGTGCGCTGTCTTCAGGACACGATACTATCTGTGGCTAACCTGGCCTCAGCTGTATCTGCCTACCTCCTGCCCAGCCACCTGTGTTTGCCTCTGCTCTTCGGGACTCTGTGCCCCAGTGCCCCATCTCTGGCCTTTTAGAAGGTTCAGAAGTAAGCCAGTAGAGGGAGAATCTTCCAGGTAGATTGTGAATGGCTGCTGCTTTGGAGTTCTCATGGCCTCTAATTGCACTTTCATGGTTTCTAGGGCCTCAAGGTGTGCCTGGCATCAGCAAAGATGGTCAAGACGGTGCTCATGGTGAGCCTGGCCTTCCTGGTGATCCTGGCCTTCCTGGAGCTGTTGGTGCTCAGGGAACCCCAGGGATTTGTGACACCTCAGCCTGCCAAGGAGCTGTGTTAGGAGGGGGTGGGGAAAAGTCAGGTTCTCGGAGCTCATAGACAGCAACTTTAGGAAATGACTGACAAAGAACTCCAGCAGGAAGCAGGGATCAGTCATGTGGTTATCAGAAATGGACAGTACAGCTGGCTACAGTCAGCTAGTCCTTCCTGGCCTGCTGCCTGGGCCCCCAAGAGCATCTACTGGCACCACTGTCACTGTCCCGTCTGCAGGACTATTGGCAGCCCATTCATCTGTGACAGCATACCTCAGGCACAGGCCCTAGGGATGGAGATTTTAAACCCAGCATCTGGAAGGGATGGTGAATCTTATAGTTTGTTTGTTTGTTTTGTACAATTCCATGAGATAAAAACACTCAGAAACTTGTTTACATAACATTTATATAAAGCCTATGATAGACTACCAATAAAACTTCAGATTAGCACTGGCTACAGTGTGATGAAGGTGAGGCATTTAATGTGTTTCACCTGCTTTCTATTGCAAACTTAACATCTCTGGCTCCCAGTATTTATTGAAGGAACTACACTGAATCGTCTGTACAGTAAATAAAGCTACTCACTGGAAACCTGTGTTCCAAACATACAGTTTATTACACATAAAGCAATGACTCACAATATGGAAATGTGGGCATTGAAGCAATCTACCGAGAAAATGTTTATGGGCAAAAGGAGTTTTAAAAGAAGTCTCTGGAAAATTCTTAGCAAAAAGTTTTTAAATTGCACTGCATTTTCCAATACAGAGTACCATGAGACTGGAAATGGGGGGGGTGATAAAACAAATGAAATAAAGTTTCCAAACCTCTTCTAGTTAAGAACAATTTACCTTCTTCCAATTGCTAAAGGGGCATATTTAAAATGTAAACAAAATAAGTAAACGGCAATGTTTTCTTTAGTCTTGAGACTCAAGAAATTACCAAGGATGTTAATTTTTTTTAAGTTATCATGTTAAGAACACATGATGGTGTCGGACAGGTAATTGAAAAATTACTAATTATCAAGATGTCTTCATCCTCAAATGGTCATCTGGACATTAGTGGGTAAGTATTTTGTTTAGATAAATACTTTCGCAAAATGTGCTCTCAAAATCCTTACTGGAGTCCCACCAACTGGAGCCACATCCCTCTCGAGGACTCAGAGCTGAGCTCTGGGATGGCGGGCATGTGCATGATGCCACAAGATCGACAGTTCTCTCCCAGGTCCTGGGTCAGTCCAGTCACTTGATCTCCATGGCGGGGCTGCTCTGCAGACTGCCCTGGGCAGGGCAGGTCACCAGGGATTCTGGTCTGGTCAGCTTTAGCCTTCTGCCAGTCTTACCGCAAAACACGCTCTCAAATTCCTAAAGTCAAGAAGTGATCATTAATGCACTGAATTCAAAGATGTGAATGCTGCTAGTTTCAAAAGCACAAGGAGCTGAAATTAGGAGCCATGTAAAGTATCTCAAAGTATGAGCTTCTAAGGTATCACAAACATGTCACACCTTAGAGAAGAGGTATGTGAGAAAACAGGAAAAGAACATTTTCCCCCAATAGCGGTTATACTGTATGTATTTAAAAAAAAAAGATTTTCCAATAAATTCTGTGTCTGAGTATATGCCATTTTTTATGGTTAAAAAAAAAAACAAACTATACCATTTTCATCATTCGTTAAATGTCCAGGTCGGTGGCTATCCCTTCACACACTAGTGAGGATCCTTGGCCAGCTAGACTAGGTTGCAGTTCCTGAGGTTGCTCTATGCACAGTGAGATGAAGAGTAACTCCCTGCAGGCTGACAGTCTGCTTATTCACCCAGCTTTCCCTGCCTTTTAAAAGGCCTTAGGTCTAAAGTCTAGACAAGGCTGGCTGACCCCCTAAACACAGGGTTGGCCTCAATGTCACCAGATAGCTACCAAGTCTGATGGCCCAAGAACTGGGAGGGTGGGGGAGACACTCAGGAAGGCTAGTCTAGAAGATGCAGCAAACAAGTAGCTAACTACTTCCATGAATTTGTGAAATGCAGAATGTGTGAATTCCTACAAGATAAGTGACCCTGGATTTCAATTCCAACACACAAGTATAGAGACCCGTGAGTACAAATGCAGGCATTGGGATTGCTGTCTACAAATGAAAGAAAATAGCAGAAGTGTTCTAAGTCACTAAAGTAGGCGGAGGCTGGGCTTAGGGATGTGTGCCTTCACTGTTCTATTGTTTTTGTTCATGTTTATAAATTTCTTTACGTATAGCATTCTGAGCCGGGCATTGGTGGTGCACGCCTTTAATCCCAGCACTCAGGAGCCAGAGGCAGGCGGATCTCTGTGAGTTCGAGGCCAGCTTGGTCTACAGAGCGAGTTCCAGGACAGACTCCAAAACAATACAGAGCTGTCTCGAAAAACAAAACAAACAAAAAAAAAGTATAGCATTCTGAACTCATAAATCTAGGTTTGAATATTCCTGCTTTGTTAAATATGTATTATAGTAAAATTTTGTGTTTTCACCACTTGCAAGTTTACAATTCGATGGCATTAAGTATACCAGAAGCTTCTTCTGAAATGGCTCTTATTGGGGTCAGAGATGGCTCAGTGGTTTAGAACACTGGTTGATCTTCTAGAGGTCCCGAGTTCAATTCCCTGGAACCACATGGCAACTCACAAAATGTCTCTTACCATTCCAAACAGCAACTCTGTCCTCATTAACCATGGCATCCCACTGCCTGCCCTGACACACACCAGTAAGTTTCCACCTCTGAGTCTGATCTATCCAGGGACCCTCACATTGGTGACTGGCTTATCTCACTCAGTTTGTCAAGGAGTGTCCATTACAGCAGGTGCCAGAATGCCAATCCTTCGCATGGCTGAACATTGCCATGGGTGTCCAACAAAACATTCTGCTTGTCCACTCTGCTGATAAGCACAGCTGCTGTGGATGCTCAGAGACAAATGGCAGTTTGATTCTTGTTTTAAATCTCGTGGATTTATACTGTGTGGAACTGCTGGGTCATATGGCAACTCTGCTCTCCACAGTGGCTACATCACTTCACATTTCACCATCAGGGCACACACGTGTTAGAATTCCTCCAGATCTTTCCTAACTTTAGTTATTTTCATTTCTGTTTTCCTGATATTTGATTTATGATATTGAAGTGGTATTTCATTGTTTTTTCCAGCACTGGAGATCAAACCCAGGGCCTTGCAAGTGCTTTACCACTGAGTTACATCCTTGGCCCCAGGAGAGTGATGTCCTAGAAATCAGTGCAGAAAGCCATCGGGTCTTGAGGGCTCACATGGGCCGGTCTCTGGCTGAACTGTATGAGAGCAGCAACTAAATGCTTCTGGGAGTAGACCTGAGAGGAAGGTGGAGTTGAGAGGATAACTCTTGCCTGGGTTCAATCCCCAATGTAAACTGGGTGTGGTAGCACATGCCTGTAATTCTGGCATTTGAGGAGAAAAGGCAGGAAGACCAGAAGTTCAAAGTCAACCCCAGCTACACTACATGAGCTATGAGGTCTTGTTTCCTAACCCTAAGACAAAAAGAGAGAAAAGAAATGTATGTTTTAAATACACTCATTAGGAAGAGACTAAGGGACATAAATTTTAATATGGGAAGGACAGAGGAAGGATAGTCATTTAATTAATAAAAAAACAAACTGTGACAAAAAAATTAACGCATACAGAATAAATCAAGGGAGCTGGAGCACGGCCCTCACTGAGGGGCCCAGAATAGTCAATGGGCAAGCCAGGCACAGAGCAGGACAAGGAGTACAGGGTTATTTTGTACAAAACACTTTATTTCTAGAACAGAGCACTGCATAGTTTTGGCTACTCAGTGACACACAAGTCACAGGTACTTGCTGGGTGGCTGACAGGTACTTCTAGTGGCATGTTCTAAAGAGGGGAAAGCATTCTACAACAAACAGCAGTTTCCCCATAATTTGAGAGGGAATGACTCTATCTATCTCTTGGTTTCCTCCTGCTACATTTGTGCCAACCATGTTCTTACGAAGACTTTTAGAAACTTGTAGTCACCAAGCTACATGTCCCAACCTGAAGGCCCCTGAATGCCATCTGTGCTATAGCAAATGGCCCTCTATCAGACCCAGCAAAAGCTCTAGCTGCTAGGTTCTTCATCCACACTGCAGAGCCCATCCAATGCTAGTGGCAGTCTTTTCTTCTACTCTGGGAAGCTGTGTTTATTACCTGCTGTATCAACTCTACATTGGACCCCAGTGATAGAGAGGGTAGAGAAGGTTCAGCACCCCAGTGCACCTAGACAGGGCCACCCCATAGGCTGCATGAATGACACTTACCTGGTGTGGGGTTGTACTTGGACGAGATCATAAAAGATGCAGTTTAATGGATCACATTCTCCATCATATACACAATACAGCTTCTGGTTTATCACATCAGAGCATGGGATACAGCAGTACTGACAGGCAAACAGGCCAAGGGCTGCCAGCAGTCAGTGGTAGGCACAGACCCTCAAAAGTCTTGCCATGAGGGCCTCAGCACCTCTGCTAGGAAGATGGTACTCAAAAGACTGGGTGCAGTCTCTGCAAGGGGGCGTCTGCCCTATCCGGGAGCAAAAGGCTGAGTCTAGACTAGGAAGGATGACGGAGGGGCTCTAGACTCGGGAAGGCATACCACTGTCTACCAAAAACAGTAGATACTTCACCTGCCTTGGCTGCTCAGGTCCAGGCTCCCAGACTGAGCCAGGGGCATCCCATAATTAAGATGTTAAGGAAAAGATAGACTCAGAGGATTAGACCCCCAGGAGGGTGATGTCCTAGAAGCCAGTGCAGAAAGCCAAGGAATATATGTCGCCAGGCCCCCCTGAACACTACTCTAGCTGAACACTATAGGGGCAACAATTAAAGGCTTCTGGGAAGAGACCTGAGGGCTGAGAGGAAGGTGGACTTCAGAGGGCACATAGTGTTTTGAGCTGACAAAGAACAGGGCAATGCTAGAAAGGGACAATAGACCCAAAGAGCTCCCTAGAACACTAGGAGAAATGGCAACAGTTTAAATTAGGGAAGAAGGCCTGGGGTCAGGACCTGTGTGTCAGGACAGGGTCTGGGAGTAACCAGGTGAAGGTATGACATCATAGCAAAGAGGACTCCTCCCTTTGGTGACAAGAGGAAGGCAAAGCAGACGAGCTATGGGATGGCAGTGGGGCTCGGCAGCCTTGAACACCTTGCTGAGGTTCACAGCCACAAATCCCTAATAGCCTTTCACACCATAATGAAATGTTACCAGCGGCCCTGGACTGGATCCCAACCAGGAAAATAGCTGTGGAGATGGACATTGCTGGAACAAGAGAGCAAAATGTAAACATTCACAGTGCTAGGTAACAGTGCCCACCAATGTTCCGCATGCCCATCTTGACCACAGTCGGTAGCTTATGTAAGACAATGTACAAAAAGCAAACACTGGAGAACTGAGGTATAAGATGGCATCTGTAATTCACTACCAAATCATTCAGACACACAAGCAACCCGGAACACTGAGCAAGCCTAAATGGGGTCTTGCGATATCTATGTCTGAAATTACTCTGTAATTAAAAAATCACCACAAGTAACCAAAATCAAGAAGGAGAT